GTAGAGGCCAGCTCAGTGGTCTGTGCACTCTGTAGAGACCATGCACATTGTAGAGGCCAGCTCAGACTCTGTGCTTATTTTAAGCTCTTGCTAGTCATTGTGAATAGGTCTTATCTGTCTAGCATTCCCCCTCTCTGTTTACCAATATCTACACTTTTGCTGAAAAGGAACTCCATTATTCTCTACCCGCTCTCCAGTGCATGTTCTGACCCAGTTTCAAGCTCAGATGACCCTTGAAGCTGATGACAGTCACAGGCTCCTTCCAAGGCCTGTCAGAGTTGGAGAGAGAGAAGGATGTCTACCTGGTTCATCTGTATGGTGGAGGGCTTTTTAAGGAAGAAGAAAGTTTCTTTGTAGCTTTGCAAATGTAGTTCATACTTGAGAAAAGATTAAAAACAAAATGGTGTCTTTCTTTCTTTACGGCGAAAAGAGACAAGAGAACATGGTTGCAAATGAACTTTGGATACAGCCTGATTTTTTTAAAGTTGTATTTCAAACTTTGTTTTAATTGTTTTTTCCTCACTGTGTGAAAAGGGAGGATATCCTACACTCCATAACCTTTTGTTTCCCCCTGCTCAGAATATTTTGTGTGTGTCTCCTTCTAAAGATGAATTTGTATTCTAACTTTGGGCTTACAAGCTAAGACAGTCTTGCAAGGCTTCCTCCTCAGTAATTCAGCTAGGAACAGGCTGTACTTAGGTCCAGGCTCTCTTTGTGCTCCACTACAACTGTGTATCAGATGAGGGCATAGGCTTGCTTATCTGCTAGGTTCCTTTCCGTGCTAACAGGAATTTTTCTATTCTCACTCTTTTTGTGAGTGCTTCCTTTGGTTTCTGCTTCACAGCCTGATGTGAGTACAGCAGAGGTGTGATACGAAGGCTCTAATGGGTCTTTGTGTGTCGACATAACACTGTAAGACTTGCAAATGCCCTTATTCAGATACTTAACACTGGAGACTGATTCTTACTAGAAAGCAAATGTTTCTACAAAAGCACAGCTATTAAGTAACACTGAACAGAAGGCTGGCAAAATAACCGATTTGATTCTAATTTAATGAAATACAAAGGATAATGGTAGTAAGTTTGTTTTGAAGGCTTCATTTACTGTATATACGTAAAAGATGTCAGTTTTAGCACAGTATTGGACATGGGCTATTATTGTCCATTTAGTCTTCTTATCTATTCTAGCATATAGTAACATACTCATTAAATTAACTATAAGATGCTTCCAAGTCAGAATGACACAGTATCATTGCTTTCAGTCTTCACTCCCTGACAACACACATATTCTACACAGCTCTCTCATCTGGGTAGTTTTTCCTTACCCAATTGAGTCCTAGCCTTTCTCTAGTATGTACAATCTAGTTTCTTATCTATCCTTGCCTGAAAGGCCACCAAACCTTTGCTATCTCAGTCATGGCCCAGTGTCCCTGTGAACATGTCTCTCACTCAGACCGTTTCTCATGATGTTTGCAGACACCACTGTATTATTGGGAGCTTTGGATAATTAACTGACTATTTTTGATTCTGTTTCTTTGACCTTGGAAATGAGATTGTTTTGTGCCCATTCTTTTCTTTCTAGATAACCAAGCTGAAAATAGACAGCAATCCTTTTGCCAAAGGATTCCGGGACTCCTCCAGGCTCACTGACATTGAGAGGTAATGAGAATTTTCTGCTTGCTCTTTTGTCCAGATAAGATAAAGCGTGGATTGTAAGGATGTGTTTCCTTTAATGCCAATGAGTTTCGATATTCCAGTACGTAGTCTCTGCACCTTCTCCTCTAACCACAAACTCCCCTGCTGTACAGCGCGTAACTCTAGAGAGCAGCTGCTTTCAGCTTTCTCAAATGCTTGATTTCGTAGTAAAAAGGTTTATTTAGGTTTTGCTGTGATCAGATACTGGGTCCTAGATATAATTGATTGCCATGTCTTATTGATTGGAACTTTCCAGGGAAATAGACACTTTATAGCCATTTTGCTTCAGAAGGGATATATTTGATAACAAAAACTATAGAGGAGGTTTGGGATTTTGAAACAAGGAGATGTAATGTAAATTGTGTGAGGGCCACACAATTTTATCCGTAAAACAGACTGACATTTTGAATAGGAGAAAAATCAAATCTGAGGACCTGTAAGAAGAAACAGTTATGCATAAGAAACTTACCCCCTTCACGATCACAGTTGTTCATTGTTGCTTGAGATCATTGAGTGACTGAAACCCATAGCTGTTAGCTCAATATGAATGCTGAGATGTATTTTCAAGGAGATTTGGACTCAATGGTTTATTTATATTGTTTCTACATGCTTACAGTAAATGTCCATCCTTCATCCTTCATTTTCATACTAGGTCTGATACATTTAGCGATGGGTGGCACACCCCATAGGCACCAGACCCCTTACTGATTGTACCTTCAGATCTTTGTGTGACTCTCCTGTCAACTGCCACACAGTTCTGATATTCTCTTCATTGCTTACCACATGGGTTATCTGACCATGCCACTTCTGTCCATCTTGTCTTGGCAACTCAAATGAAAGGTTAATTATGTTTTAGCAACTTCTGTCTGAGTCTTCTTAAACCTGCCTAAGTGGCAATGTGAGTGGCTGGTATAATGCAAGGGAACAGATGTAGAGGCTGTGTAGGAAGCCAGAGAGTTTGATTTAAAAAAAGAAAACAAAACTAATTGCTGGAGAGTCTGACGAGAGGTCAGAGGTGAAATCAGGGACGCACCTGAGGCTAGTGGATGGACATCTATTGCCAAAGTTTCAGAGAGCAGGCTTGTTGGGAAATTATGGATGGTGACATTTATAAAAGCACACTGTAAGTCTAAAGTGCAAAAGTGTTTCTGAGTCTCTCATCTTAGATGAGCCTTGCATCTAACCTCTTAGACCCTGTCTGAGCAACTTCGAATGGGCTTTGTGAACTGATTTTAGAACAAAAATAGCCCTGTGGTTGCGCACACACTCATGAGATAGGAGTACCCAGCCTGGCTGCCCTTTGGTACAGCAGATTTGATAATGCATGTGGCCACATTTTCCATTTATCGAATAAGCCTCCTGATGTGGGAGCGCTCACTTGTACATGAAGCTAAGTGGCTCGAGATGGTCCTCAGGCCAAGGGAGCACTCTGACGTGACTAGCTGAAAGTTTGCAAGATGACCTAAGTGGTGTGAAACTGGCCAAGGTTTTGGATTTCATTTCCAGGTATTTAAGCCTGAATTTTTCCTAAATAGCCTTTGGGGATGGGACAAATCAGATCAATTGATCTTTAGAGACCTAAAGAAATTAAATTAGTCTGGAGTCAGTTACTGCACTAAACCACGTAGTAATTGAATTGTTCCTTGTAACTGATTGAAAACAGCCCTATCTGTAACAATCCTGGGAGCTTTTCCTCAGAAGAGATCTGAGAGGAAAACACATTTTTTTATGACATGATGACAGATACTGCATTTTTCTAACCTAACTGAATATGATGTAATAAATATGTGACCTTAATGATTTCAAGTTTCCTGCTCTAGATTTATAACTTACTGTGCGGGACAACCAAACCAAAATGCCTTCAGGATGGGACCTATGTCCTTAGACTTCGGCGCGGCCCTTTTCATAACTGTCAGCACTGGATGCTTTGTGAAGTATCATAGTTGTTCTAGATATGGGTTTACTTAGATGGATGTGTCCTATCTGCCGTTCCTGCTCTGTGTCTTTGTGCAGGGTCAGAGTCCTCCTAATTTGTAAAAGAAAACTCATGTCCTTATCACATCTGGTGGCCAGCTAAGAAGTGCACTGGAAAGCCTTAAGCGACGACTTAGGAGAAATGAATTTCTAGCATTTTAAACCAGCGAAAGAAGTGCTGCCGTTTCCACATAATAAGTAGCCTAGGGCAGCTTTCTGTTGATTGCTTGTTCTCCACTCCTTCCTGATTTTGGGGTGGCTTCATAAAAGTGTACAATCTCACTGCTGCTTCTGAAGAAGGAAAGATAACTGGAAAAGGTTTAGAATATTTTCTTCAAAATCAAGTGCTTTTGTTACCCAGCCCCTCCCCCCTTGACCAATAAATCCCTGCCCAACTGTAGAAAAAAAATAAAACCCACAAAAATTGTTGATAAGGAAAGAAAGAACACAAAGGAGCAGCCGGCTTCAGTGCCTGTGCACTTGCCTGGATACTGTCCTAGGTGGATATCAGTCATGTGATACTGTTTTTAACCGTTTACCTACAGATGTGTTTACTTTTAAATGATCGTCATATTTTTCACTTTCTACCACAATTTTAGTTATCTAGGGTCCTTCTTTTTCCCCATTATGAACAATGCCTGGAAGGAAATGTATTTTTTTACATGTAGTCTTGATTATGATCATAGGATAAATAACCAGAGATAAAAATGCTGAGTGAAAACATGTGCTTTTATTTATTTTTCTGCCATAGTGCTATTTTATATGTCAAAATTTTGGAGAAAGGACTGAAGAAATTATTTAAGAAACTTTATAGTTGTATGATTTAGAAAACTGTTCAAAATACCATTTTAACCATGCTCTTCTGTGACTTTAAGTAGATTCATAATGTCATACAACCATCATCTTTATGCTTTTCCAGAATGTTCTCAGAATGACAAAGAGATGGTATGCTCAATTCCATTTTCCTTGTTTTTCCTCCCAGCTCAAGCCCTTGGTAGCCTCCATTTTATTTTCTGACTGTTTGAATCTGCCTAGCTAAGTACCTTTTGTAAGTGGATAGGAATATATTCTCAAATGTGTTTAACACACAGCCAAGCTTTTTCAAGAAAGATCATCTGAACATTAAACATGAAAGGGAGAAAGATGATTGCCTATCAATTTGCACCCTGTCAAACAGGGTGGTCATCATTTCATTTTTGATAATGTAATAGGATAAATACAAATTTTCTTTTAGGCATTGGCCTATCTATTTCCTGAGCTCATTTTGTTTTGCTTAATCTGTCTCCTCTTATTGACCTATGAAAATCATTTATGGCTCATGAATACCACCACAAAAGCCTTTAAAGGAGAAGGGTTTATTTCAGCTCACCATTCAAGGTGCAGTCTATTCTGACAGGAAGACCAAGGCAGCTGGAGCTTGAGGCAGCTGGTCACATTATATCCAGGAAGCAGAGAGGGATGGATGCTCTGACCAGGTAGCTAGTGAAAATCTGAAGGAAGGCTATCCCAATCCTGAATTAAAAAACAACATAGAAGGGGTTCACAGCCCATCTAACTGTACTCAAAAGCCTAGTAAACTGTTGCATGTAGCTTTGATACCCCACCAATGCTCCATGAATGGACCATGCTACCAGCCCCTACCCAGCTTCCCTTGAATCCACAGATGAAGACACAGACACACATCGGTTCAGTTTCAACTTGCCTTAGGACACAATTGCTGGGAGCTACTATCTCCTGCCAGGAAAAAAGTGCCCTTATCAATATTCTTATCTCTGCATCTCCCACCTGCCCTAGACTTTAGTGGCTCAGATATATCTAGTCCCTGCTAAACACCCCTGACCACCTATAGGAGCGGCCATAGGCTGGATCTCCTCCTGAGACCTCACATGGCTGCTTGGGTTTCCTCTCTCTATAGCATGGTGAACTCTTCTCTCCTTCTTCATATCTGTCTATTTTCCTCCAGAATTCCCGCCTATTCCTTTCACCTAGCAATTGACCCATGGCTTCTTTACTGACAGATCAATAACCCATTGGAGAACAGGACCTTAGTATCAAACCTCCCCTACAGTAAACAAAGTAAAAAGTCTCATTAATAATTCAAAGTATGTAAAAAAATGATCAAAGTCCCCACATCTTTGGCATTCTACCACTGTAGTAAACACAAAGGTTAATTTAAAATCTCTTAATGTTTGCTGATTTTTCAATTAGATTGCTGTACAGTGTGTAAATGATAATGATTTTTATCTTTGGTAGTTATTAAAGTAATCTTTCTTTCTTTATGAGAATGTTGAAAAATAAGATCCCTGGCCTTCTTTTTTCTTCTTCCTGCTTCCTCTGTAGGATTTCTTGTGTCTGTCTGTGTGTAATCTCTGCTGGCTGGGTTTCACACATGTGTTCTTATTACACAAATCTAATGAGTACCTATGCCTGAAGTAGAAATTCCTGTTAAGCCAATATGGAGTGTATATTGAACTACCTTTTAACATCTGTTGAGTTGATTTAAAATCATTTTTGTTCTTTTACATAATAACATGGTTTATTATACTCATACTGCCTGCCAAACCATCATCTTATTTCTGGAATAATTCTGTTTGGATTTTATGTTGCTCTGGAAATATATTGTTCAACTTTAGCTATTTATATTTTAAGACTTTCTGTGTTGATATTATAACAGGTAGGACCTTGTTTTTCTCTCTTCCTTTGTCCCTTTCAGATTCCATTCATCATCGTTATCAGATTCAGTTTGTTCAATGGAAATATAATTCTTTCTTTTTACTTTGGATTTAAATAGAAAAGAAATAAGCATTTACCTGAAGTGTCTACCAGGCTGGCACAAACATGTTATACAGTATGTTTTTGAGGACTGCTTTTTTGTTCAGTTCTTTCTTTGCTCTAGAAGCTGCAGCTAATTGGAGATGGATTTTGCCTCCTTGAGGGCATTTGCCTTGACTTTGACTTCACCTAACCATGCACACACCCTCTTTTAGTAT